TTTGATATGAAATTTGAATGATGAATATACTCAGCATTATCAGCAAGCTGAAGCAGGTTGAAACTTTAGTTTTAAAAACAACTAAAAAAAGTCATTTTGAACTAAAGAACAACAGTTTTTTGTTGGATTGTGGCATAACAACTGCAAAATATTCTCCAAAACAACAGTGAGAAGGCATCAGGGTGAGGTAAAATACTGTTAAAATTAACATTTTAAATTTCTGGGTCAAGACAAGACCTGTTTGCAATTAATTTGACCTGATGATGTTGCATCTTGTTGCTGGGAGACCCTCAGAGGTTCTTTGTGCTGTGACAAGACCCTGGGGAAGAGCTGGACACCCCTCCCTGTGAGGAAGGTCGGGCTGGGAAAACCTCCCAGGATTGGGCCCCAAACACAAATGTCTCCTGAATCTCTGCAAACAATCCCACTTGAAATTATTGTGCAGCTTTATTGTATTTTCAGCAATGTGCTTTGCTGGCAATAGAGAGACAACTTCGGAGGTAATACCCTGGAATCTCTTCCTGTTATAGATGGCTGGAGCTCATAGATATAATGTGATTATTTCTTTCATTAAAGGAACTAAGTAATGTTATTAGATTTGGCTTTTTTTAGTGCATCAAATGGTTTATTTTACCAAGGCAGGAATTATTCTTTTCCAGAAATCCAGAGGTCATTTATTCCACAAAGCACCTTGCGTTTACAGAACAGAGAGACAGCAGCTTTAGCTGTATTTCTTGTGTCTGCTTCCTCATTGCCTGAGTGTGAAAACTTTATTGCTCATTATCTACTGGGCTGTGATGAAGTGACAGATGATTTATTGGGAGCCAAAAACTGTGTTTCAATGGTGAACATTTTTATCCTTTTGTGTTGCAGCCTGCCAACCCCTCTAACTGCTGAGGCAACAAATAAAGAAAACTCACTGCTGGAGGGCCCTGTGACTATCACTCATAAATGTCCACATTTCAGATCTCACTCTGTTTCTAATTTGATTCAATTCCCTTTTGTTGCTTAAAAATTCAATTTGTTTAATTGAGCTGTTTGACAGTAAAATCTGAATTCCATGCATTTTAACCATTCATATTAAATTTCCCTCCACATAGTACTTTTAGTAATGTGCTTTAAAAGAGGTCACTTTAATTTAAATTTGGTGACCTTACAAGCTTATAAAAAGATCTATATGCTATCCTTCTCAAACTGAAATTAAATTGAATAAATGTAAGATAATGTTACAGTAGATATTTCTGACTGAGGTTTTGGAGTCCTGCAGAAATGAAACCTGCATTAGGAAGCCTCAGTGCCCCTTCCAGCCCGTTTTCCACAAAAAACAACAATGATTGTGGATGAAACATCCTGTGATGGGTCAAATTAACCATTAAAATTCATGTACTGAAGTTGCAGGATTAGTTATGTTGTTGTGTGTCTTTGTTTAATAAGTTCCCTGACCCCAGCTTGGGTTATTTCTATTTATTTTTAGGGAGGGTTACATAGTTTTTGACATTTCAATGGCTGAGCATCTTTCCCTTTAGGACTAATAAGAAATATTGGAAGCAGCGCAAAGACTTTAAGATTTAGTAAACTTTAATCTGTAAAATTTAATAGCAATCTCCAAGTCATTATGAGTATATAGGATGCAGTCTGGCTTTACAAACACTTTTAAGCAGTGAGTTATGTTCCAAGAATGGCTTTGCTGTGTATCATTACGTCCAGGTAAATGCCAGGATGATGACATAATTGGTAGTTGGGAGTAAAATACAACCCCTGTAAAATGTTACTAAGGTAAACGGAGCAGGATTGTAATTCATTATACATAAACATGACTAGGAGTTATTTATCATTTTATGAAATGCAGAACAACCTGAGCTCGCTGGGTTTGGCTGTTTCTTCATTACTTTCTGTGAAATTCTAACGCCACTCTTTTATTTCCCTTTAATGATTTCCCCCCCCCTCCAACCCCACGTGAGGCTCCTTTGCACCGTCCTCCCTGATGTTACTTCTGATATACAAAGTCCTAAAAACTGGCCTCATTAGCAATGATATCCTGCCACTTTCAGACACTGACAAATTTATGACTTTGGATTAAAGGTCATATGGGCATTCCAGCCATTAAACCAGCCCCGTTCCACACTACCTGGAACTGGGAGGAAATCCATTTTTGCACACAGATGCCCGTTCTGTTATTTCCTGCTAAAGACATACAGTAATAGTTTGAAAGCAACAAAAGCCTATTTTGTACCTGTTCAGCTTGCAAGTGTGTTAGCCCTAGGCTACTGTTTAACTTTTAACCCTCTTGTTCACACAGCGTACATGCATAAAACTACAATGTACCACATAATGAAGCAAAGCTCCCAACATTTGTTTTAGACTGTTTGCTATAGGACACGCTTCTCTCCGGTCTTAAAATCGGTTTGGAAAACAAAACAACAAAAAACCCCAACCCATCTCACTACGAAATGAGTGATTTTTTTGCCCACATTTAATAGCAGCCCTGCTATGCTCTCTGCGTATTAACAGGGCTTTCAAGTAAAAAAGAAATAATTCAGCACAAAATGATTTTTGAAGAAGAATTTCTTTTGCAATTCTTTTTCGGTGTCTGATTTTAAACCATTTTATCAAGCTTCCACTATATGTGCCAAACACTCTCTTGTCAGGTGTAGGATGAACTACAGTATAACTGTGAGATATTTCTTTCCCTCATAACAATCTTGAGCCATAGCCCGTGATGAATTATTTGTACCATCACAAGGAAATTCCCCCCTTCTGCACTTAAACCCAGCAAAATTACACACCAATTGTAGCAGAGAAAACATCTGATGTGACAGCTGTATAGCACATGGAGATCCATTGGGCCATTGGTTAATCAGCAGATTTTAATGGTGCTGGGAAATACGTGGTGTCCGGAATTAGAAATGCCTCTGTGCTCTTCACTAATAGGACAAATTTTCTACCTGTAGAGGAAGGATTCCTGCTGTTTAAATGCTTCAAATGTTTAAAATTAAAAGAAACAAAAAAAAAGGAAAGAAAAAAATAATGTGGAAAATCTACCATAATTCAGAACACAAAAAGGAAATCCTGTGGATGAGTCAATTATATGGTTCCTAATGATGGTTGAGCCTGGAGGCCTTGAGCGAGGAGGGGAGGAAACAGGGGAAGATTAACTTGGTTAACCTTCTTCCATTTCCCTGTGCCAGGCAAGTACTTTACTTACTGTATTCCCTCCTCTTTAACCCACTGTAGTTGGGGACAGCTTGAATTTCTACAAGTCTTCCACAAATTTAATGTTTGTTTGCTCTTTGTGTTTCACATCAATAATTAAAATGGTAAAAAGAGCCCAACCCTGTGTTGGAAAGTGGGATTTAGGGGGTTGGGTTGTTTCTACCTGTCATCATTAATGTGTTTCATCAGATGCCCAGGAAAATTAGGCTCACAGTTTTCCTAGGCAGCTCATTATTAGGGATATATCCTAGAAATTAGAAATCCCCCCAAGATTAAAAGCAAAGTCTCAGAGGCCCCTGAAGACAGTGGTATCTTTAGCGAGCTAAAGGCCTGGCCAAGTGCAATAATGATAATGATAAATAACCATCATTTATTTTTATACATGCCCATATCATTTAGGACCTCATAGTGCTCCGCAATAAAATCAAAGAAACATTAACTTGAAGTAAACAAATGACAAAACCAACATCAGCAGATGGGCAAATCAACAACAAAAATAAACAAATCAGCAGGTCAGAGGCTCCACTGCAGGGATGAACAAATGGCTATGGAGCAGGGATTTGGGTGGAATACGCAAAAAAGACCAAATGAAGAGTGAAAGGCTGATTGCCCCCGATGTCCCAGTGTGCACAGCACCCTTGGACACCTTTGGATGCTGTTACAGTGCCATTAGTGGCTTTCTGTATTCCAATTAAAGCTTGTGTTTGCTGCACTGTCTTTTTGTTTTTCCCCCAATCCTGAAGTTCCCCAAACACCTCCTGGACTCCTGGTCTGCATGCACAGTTGGATGAAGACACCAGGAAATTTAGACTGAGATGGACTGTGGGAAGTTGCAAAAATCAGGACTTTGGATATGCTTTTTTTAAAAAAAAATCTGATTTGGAGATAATATAAAAGAAAAAGGAAAAACGTATGAATTTTTTTGGACCTTGGTGTGGTGAACACGACTTCCACAGCCTCATGTATCAGGTCTGTGAAACTCTCCCAACATTATTCTCAACAAATTCACGGCCCATAGGTGAGCCATGGTGAGCATAAGCATTTTTTGTCAAGCCAACGAGGATCTTATTGCTATGTGGAAAATATTTACTGCTATTGCTGATGATTATTTATCATAGGGCTGAACCTAAAACTTTATTTATCAAATAAATGCTTTCTGGAAAATTGTCTTCTCTGAAATTATGGAAAAAAGTCTTCATAACCCATTTAATGATAGAAATTAATGTTGATTCATTATTCTCACTATATGGACTGTACAGACCTGTCACGCCAAGAGACATGAAACCCACTGACCTGTGATAGCAGAGGATTTTGAGCCAAACATAATCTTTTTCTTTTATTATTGTTTCAAACCTGGAAGAGACTGGAGAGGCAGGGAGGTACCTTCACCTAAGCCTTGTTTGGTCTTGAAACACTAAGAAGCAGGAATGCTCATGGAAGCACTGGAATTTGCTCCTCCTGACATCCATCCTTGTGGCCATTTGTGTTTAAGAACAACTCACTTTTGGAATGTGATGATCATCTGCTGAAGATTTAGCTAGAGAGGGCAAATAAGCATTTGATTTTCTTTAAAAAATACTACCCACAGCCTATGTAAGGACAAATTTTAGGTGGGGTTTTGGATTTCTATATGCAGGGTCAATATTTCAAACTCATTCTGGATTGAGAGACACTTAAAATAAGACATAGGTAATTAGAAGCTAGTTAAAAACTAGGTTAAAAAATTAACTCTGCAACACAAAAGCATAATTTAAATTACCATCTTCAATTACTGTTGTTATTCCCTACTTGCTGAAGATTTGTCCTTGCATTCTTGTGTTAACAAGCTATTACGTATCTGAGAAAAAAAATGAGAAAAAGCACCTGTATTTTGACAGTGAGATACCATGAGCCTGCTAAGCAATCTGTAGTTGCTTTATTTAGATTATTTAACATCACAAAAGTAAATGAGTGATGATTGTCAAACAGGCAAATATAATACTCTTTAGTGCTCTGGAGTAGCCATAAAACCTGACTTGTCCCTGAGCTCATGACAGTAACTTTGCGACTTTGGACATTGTAAGACTGAGAAACAGCTGTTGACAGACACGTTCCAGGTCACAGAACAAGAGTGCATGATCAATAAGCTTGAGAGCAAACTTCAGGGCCAGAAATACAACTCCCAACATTGATATGACAAAAGATTCTGCAAGACATTCGTTGCACTGAGGGTTTTGTGAGGAGACACCACTAATACTGTGCCACAAACTCTGCAGGGCTGTGCAAAGGTAGTTTCCACTAGCCCAGGTTGCTCCAAGCCCCACCCAGCCTGGCCTTGAACACTTCCAGGGGTGGGGCAGCCACAGCCTCTCTGGGCTACTCGTGCCAGGGCCTCCCCACCCTCACATCTAATCTGAACCTACCTTGTTTCAGCATTGAAAGCACTGAAACATGAAAGAACTAAAACAGTTTTGCTTATGTTAGTAAGCTTTAGGTGTAGACAAGTGATCAAGAAGAAGAAAATATTTGGAAAAATATGAATGATGTCTTTGGATGTCCACATTTTGAATTTCTCAATCAGAATGTTTTGAATGATGCTTTACAGCACTTCACAACCTGCTTCACTTGGCAACCATGTAGGTGGCACTAAAATTGGCATTGGCAGTGCCAGAGTTTCATAGTTTGCAGAGAGACACTTGAAGGAATGAACAGGCAGGTCCATCTGTGGATGGAATTTATGGGAATTGCTGTGAGAGTGAGCTCTCATTTCCCTCCACTGTACACCCCCTTTGCTTTGTTGACTTTGTGGGCACAGGTGGCCCCTAAATCCATGCTTGAGGGAGCTTTTTGAGAGACAGTGAATAGCAAAAGGTGGAAATACTTTATTCCAATGATTTATCCTGAACATAGAGAGTGAGCTTGGTGTTAGATCTAACAGCACCATCACTATACATAACCTTATCAAGGTAAACACTGTGTACAAGAAGGTAACAGCTGAAAATTGGGAATTTACCTTGGGAAAAGCAGGACCCTGCCTGCAGGATGCTGCTACAGCACCCCTAGCCATGCAGCAGCTCCTAGGAGTGCTTCTGTTACAAGGGTTTATTTTCCATGTTGTGTAACTTGGCAAGAGCAATTCTCTCCACACTCAGATTTGGCATTCCTGATCTCAATCTGTATGGAAATGTCTGGTAGATTTAAAAAGAAAAAAAAAAGAAATTGTTCTGCTTCAAAATTGCAGAAAATAATAATAATAATAAAAAGGAATAAAAGGCTGTTTTCTCTCTGCTTTTTAGTGCTCCTTGTCCTTCTCTCCTTGAGACCTAAATCTGCAGGAGCTTTGTACATGCAGAGCCTCTTCATGGTTTAATCCTAACTGAAGTTTGGGTGTCCAATATTTAAACATTACTCAATATTAAAACAAGACGCAAATCTAGCTTTGACTTTACATTCAAGTTCTTGTACTTTCTCTGAGTTTGGGGTGATCACACCTGAGGTCTTGGGTTAGATTCAATCTAATAAAAAGGGATATGTTTTATTTTTAAATTGGGAAGGTGTTATATATGTTTAAGCTTCTTAGTACAGTGAGACTGTAAAAAAGACAAAATCCTTCCTGTTGCTTGATTTTAAAATAGTTTTCCTAAAAACCATACAGCATTTTAGGCTATGTTCTCAAAATAACTATTAAAATTATGCATCACTATTTTGCATGTAAAAGGTTGATTGCATTGAAATAGTTCAGATGTGTAAAACCAAATGCATGTGCCCCATGGCCCATGTGAGCAGGTGACAATGCACAGCTCCCTGCTACCAACCACACTGCATTTCAGCTTTCTGAATGTCATTTTATCAGCAGAACAAACCTGTGAGCTCTGAAATCATCTTAAGCCCCAGACATTGTCAAGGCTTGTGCAGATGTTTAGTCATAAGCAGCTTGAAGAAGTCTGTAGTTGTGTCATAGAATCATGGAATTGTTTAGACTGGAAAAGTCCTCTAAGACCATGAAGTCCAACCATTCCCCCAACACTGGCAAGGCAACCACTAACTCATGTCCCCAAGTGCCACATCCACACGGCTTTTAAGTCCCTCCAGGGATGGGGACTCCACCACTGCCCTGGGCAGCTGTGCCAGGGCTGGACAGCACTTTGGGCAAAAAGCTTTCCCAATATCCAGTTTAATCCCCCTGTAGTGCAACTTACTGTCATTTCCCTTTGTCCTGTCCCTTGTTCCCTGGGAGCAGAGCCCGAACCCCTCCAGCTCCACTCTCCTGTCAGGGAGTTGCAGAGAGTGAGAAGGTCCCCCCTGAGCCTCCTTTTCTCCAGACTGAGCCCCCCCAGCTCCCTCAGCTGCTCCTGGTGCTCCAGACCCTTCCCGAACTCTGTTCCCTTCCCTGGTCATGCTCCAGCCCCTCAATGTCTCTCCTGTCCGAGGGTCCCAGAACTGCCCCCAGCACTGGAGGTGCCCCAGCAGTGCCAGCACAGGGACAGTCCCTGCCCTGGGCCTGTGACACACCATGGCTGGCACTGGGGCCATTGGACTCCTGCCTACCTGGGCACACCTGGGCTCATGTCCAGCTGCTGTCACCAGCACCCCCAGGGCTTTTTCCACCAGGCAGATTTCCATATCCTCTTCCCCCAGCCTGTAGTGCTGTAGGGGGTGTTACCACCCCAGGGCAGGACCCAGAACTAGGCCTTGTTGAACCTCATACAAATGCCTCGTTCCATGGATCCAGCATGTCCAGGTCCCTCTGTAGCACCTTTCTGCCCTTTCCAACACTCGCACCAAACCCAATTTCTGTATTTCCAAGGCATCCCCAGCAGTGCTGCAAGTGGCACTGGTGGCCACATGAATGTCCTCCCACAAGGACATTGTCCACCCACAAGGAGCATGTGTGAGCTGCAAAGACATGTCCCTGCCTGTCCCTGATAGTAGGGCTTGTGAAAAATGACTTTTGTGCTGGTCTGGCCCCCCAAAAGGGGAGAAACCCTTTAGTTTAACTCTTTGCAATCCCTTTAGTCATTTGTACCTTCTAAACAAGTGCTGTTTTCATAGAGTTTGGGAGAAGAAAATCCTGACTCATTATAAGGGTGAAGGTATTGTAGTGAAAACATTTGTCAGTTAAAACCATATGAAGTCTTTGAGAACTCATGTAACTCTTGAAAGGGATTGAAATTATATAAACAGAGTGGCAAACTATTTACCACACACTTGCACAGCTCAGAGGTTCATAGAATCACAGAATATCCTGGGTTGGAAGGGACCCACAAGGATCATCAAGTCCAACTCCTGGCCCTGCCCAGGACACCCCAACAATCCCCCTCTGTCCCTGAGTGCGTTGTCCAAAAGCTCCTTGAGCTCTGGCAGCCTTGAGGCTGTGACTCTGCCCTGGGGACGCCTGTTCAGTGCCCAAACCACCCTCTGGGGGAAGAATCTTTTTCTGAGATCCAACCTAAACATCCCCTGACACAGGTTGTCCACACCACTGATACTGTTCATATAATTTCATCATTAAAACATTTTTAGGTGCCTAAAATCTTGAAATCATTTTTATTGTAAAGGTATCTTGGATAAGTTTGTAGTCTCCTTCCCAGGAAGTGCTCTGGGACTGCAGTTATTATCAAGGGATTATTTGCTCGGGGACAGAAAATTCAAGGTAAAAGAAAAAAGGTGTGGGGTTAATCTGTACATGTTTTCCTCTGGAATGGGATTGCTCCCATGCTTACATGGCAAGGCGGGGATGTCTGGGGGATCAGGGCCACTGAGGCAGCATTGCCCTGTACCTGAGTCTCCCCAGGATCTGCCACCGCTCCTCTCCCTTCCCGCAGCTGCCTTTATGTCCCAGGCATAAATCCTCTTTACTTGGGCTTTGTGTCTGGGGGCCGGCAGCGGCGTTTGTTCCCAGACGAGGTGCAATGCCGGGAAACCGTGGGCGGGGGAATACATTCATATCTGTATGTATTTATACAGGTATAAATGCATTAATATCAAATATATGCACCCCCCTAACCATGTGCAGACACTGAGGGAGATTTTAACTCCAAATTGTCAGGCTTTAATAGATTTAAATCAGGCTCTGAACACTATTTTAACATATTTTTTGTGTGTGTTTAGTAACAACAGTCATCTTAAATTGTAGTGGCACATGGCCAGAGGGAAGAGAGGTGTTAATGAGACTCACTATAAATGGAAGGAGCTCGGGAGTGACAGTTTTCCGGAGCACTGTTGGCATCGGATCGAAGAGACAGGTGGTGGCACAGGGCTGACCGATCACCTCAGATAATGATGAAAGAGGAGTGACAGGGGTGAAAGATTCAAGGACCACTGAAGAATGGCGAGGGGGAAGGCAGGGGCCATCAGCCAGCCCCGACAGGCTCGGCCGGTTCCCCACGCGCCGCTCGCGCCGGTGAAATATGAGAGGGGCTGATAAGGGGGAAGCAGAGTATTATCGATATCAGATGTGGAAATGAGTGGACTTAGTAACCTATCCACCATTTGGAGTAAGTATTTACGGTTTCCATGACCAGAATCAATCAGGTTTGAAATTCATTCTTATTTGGCAGAGGAAATGTGCACTTAACCTTTACATTCGGGGTCTCCTGATGAATATTGACCTAGAAAAATATCCCAAAGGTGTTCGGTCCGACAAAAAGTTATTTAATAATTTGGTAAATGATTGCTGTGCCACGGGGACTAAATATTTAGATCAGAAATCCTAACTTTAGATGGGTGCCGGACCAAGGTGCAGATTATTGCTACACTGAGAGCCCTCCAACCTCTCATCAACCAGCCATAAATCAGGGGGATGGAGGAGTTCAGACAGAGCAAATTCTGGTGACAGCCACGTGATGGACTCACGGGGGAGAAAATGAAAATTCATTCCCTGACAACCTGCTACAGGCTGCAGGTATGGCAAGGGGGAGAAGCTAAATAGATCTGTATCAGCTGCGAGGATGGCAGACCCCCAGCATATGGAAATGCACCGGGAGGGAGGTGTAACCCGGAGCTGCACACAAAATGCTCAAACGTCAGAGTGGCTGAATCACCTGAGCAAAGATTATATAAAAATGTAAATTGCCTGCTCCTGACCCAATCACGTTTAAAAATGAAAGGACAAAGAGTGACAGGAAAGGTGCTATTATTACAGATTCAGGGTGATGCACAGTCACTGCTCAGATTCCTCTTTGGCAGCGGTTGGGAGGCAAGCTCAGGCACTGCGAATAATTTCCCTGCAACTGCCCTCTCCTATTTATACACCCGATCCGAAGGCTTTGGGGATGAAGGGAAACGATCCCGTGGATTTGAAGGGGTTTCTGAGCAGGATCCATGCAAATCTGCTCTATGCGGGGATTTCAGGACCCGATTTTTTTAATCTAACTCAACTTACTTCAGATTTCCAGTGTGCAGCTAAATATTAAATTCACTTTAAGAAAGATTATTTTATAAAGCTGTTCTTGCTTATGTGAGAGTAATGAAGTCAAAGACGAACAGGAATTGCTCTGAAAGGCACAGGCTGCTTGGCTTTACAAAAGATCTCACTAATGGGTTAGATCAAGTATTGCTATCCCTAAAATTAAATGCCAGTGTTTAAAACTCCATTTTTATAAGAAGAACTTGCTATTAATAATTTTTAAGGCTCTTGATTAAATAACTAAAAATGCATTATTATCGGGTTCATAATTACTTTAAAAATGTTCAGGTTTTGGTCATTTTCCCTGCATTATTATGGCACGGAGGCAAAATTTCACTCATATATTTGACTTAAATGACAGTCTTTTGGGATTTGCAACAGAAATTATAACTTCTGCTGCAATTTACATGTTAAGTTCTGTAACCCCGTGATAGTTCAACCATTTGTAAAAGAACAGTAGGTGGCCTACTGGTCTAATATTCAATGAATAATTTTATCTTACATCAGGCACGAGGTCCAGTTTAATGTTTCATTACATTAAAATTGCACCGGGTGACATAAACTTTGTAATTAAAAGAGCATAACTTTTCTGAAATGCTGCAGATGAGTCTTATGAAAAATCAGCATGTTTAATCACGCTGCTATAAAACGAGGCTGCTTTTGTGTGTATGAGGTGCTACCTGTTGATGTGTTTGTCGTCACTGTCTGTCTGCAGCAATTTAATTCCTTGATATTTTGCATCCAAGAAGTCACACTTTGTGGGTAAATAAGTAAAAATACGTGAAACAGAAAATGAGGTATCATGGCTGTGGAATGTTGGCTTCGTTAGTGGATGCACCTCAGTGTGGTTGGATATCTTGGACTGTGTTTGGCAGACCCAGTGAGGTGCCACGGCCTGGCTGTGCTCCGATATGCCCCTGGCTAGCACAGCTGGAGAGGGTTGGGAATCGTGCCCTGCTCTGGAGCAGCACAGCGGGAGAGCTGCCCCCGGGCCCCGGGGGTTTGGAGATGCGCCGTATCCCCGGGAGCAACCCCCAGGGCACATCAATCTCCACTTCCAATTGCTTCCTAATGGCCCAGGAGCTTTCCAAAGGGAACCGCACCACAGAGCGGCTCTGCATTAGCTTTTATTTGTCTTTCTAGAGATTACCATTAGTCATCGTTAGTTATGAGGCAATGGCAGATATCAATTAGAAGATGAAGTATGACCCAAGTCACGTGCAGGTGGTAATGGAGCTGCTGCGGGATGAGCTCCTGGCAGCACTGTGGTGTGGTGGCTCTGTGGTCCTCCCTCTGCTGAGGGTGTTTTGGGTGTGTTGAGCTCATGCAGCTGACTTTGGCTTTGTTTCATTTCACTTTCTTCTGTTTGTTCATTCGAGTGAACTGAATCAATGAACTCATCCTTGAGCTGGAACATTTTTGTATTTAATAAACCAAAGTTACGACATACCCATCCGAGCCTAGATACTGGCACTATTTCACCAGAAATTAATTTTCTTTCCCA